ACGCCTCTGCTGAAGCCGGCAGAGATGTGTAACGGCAGTGATGGGCCGAGCTCTGCCGCCTGGGCCTGGAGATGCTCCGGGGATGGATGCTCCAGGCGATGTACCCCTTGCCGGCGCTGCTGCCGCCTCTCTGCCTGCTTTCCCGCAGGCAGGGCTGGAAAGGATGGCTACCTGCAGCTCCTGGGCTGCAGTCGCCAATGCTTTCATCCGCTTGCCTCAGCAGCCCCAAGGATGCTAAAAATGCTGCCCTCCCCTAAAGCTGCTTTTCATGCACGCCAGCAGCCTGCAGCCTCCCCTGCAGCTGCAGCCAGCAGCATTGTCCGGGAGGTGGAGGCTGGTAGGGAGCCCTTGACACGCTGACAAAAAAACGTCAAACGTCCCTGAAATCTCATCTCAGGAGAGCCAACGGGCCTCGGGCTCCTGCTTCGCGCGGCCAGAATGTTTCAGAGCTGTCCGCCTCGCTGACAGAGGTGATGTTAGTGTGCCTCTTTAGCACGTGCAGCACGTAAGAAATGACGTTAAATACAAAGATTGAAGGAGGAGTGAGTCTCGTTGAGGACCCCGAATTTGCAGGACACAAGGCAAGGGTTTGGGGGTTTTAAAGTGGGCGCAAGAGGCAGCGACAGGCTCTGTCAGCATCCTTTGACAAGCGCACCCTCGTGCCTGCTGTAACGCCGGAACCTTCCTGGTGTGCCCCTCCGCAGCCTTTGATTACAGGTTTCTGATGCTGTCGATTACAGCTGCAAGGGACAGCCAGATCTGCCTCTTTTTTCGAGTCTCATAACACTGCTCTTAAGAGAGACGGGGAAAAGATGGCAGCGTCTAGAGGAAGATTCAGGGAGGGTTTGGTTTGTGCATCCCGACGTCGGCTCTGCGTGCCTGGGGACCGCCAGAGCCATGCTGCCGCAGCTGAGGCTCCACAGAGGACGCTTCACCGGCACGGTGGCATCGGTCCCCTTTGGTCCCCCCTCCCTTGCTGCCGGAGCGTCCCTGGGCCGCCCTACACCCGCCTGCGTCAGGGGTCCAGGCTCAGTCGGGTCTGGGGGGCCGGCGGGAGCGCGCACGCACGCGTGCACACCCACGGGGGGAAAAACTTGAAGTCAAATGTCTGAAAGTCAGATCCCTTTTTAGTATGAATTTGCTGTATCTCATTCTGAGCACTAATTCCAATTTAATTGCAAGTGGCCTGAAGCCTCTTCAATAGGAGTAACAAATGGTTTGATTTTGTAAACTTCATCAGACTGCATTTTAAATGCGACACACTAGCCCGGCTCGAATGCCAATGAAGCACTGAAGTAGCTCTCTGTTTACTAATTATCCGTTTTTACTTCAAGCCACGCTGGCTGGCTTGTCTGATTAAATCGGATTTGTGGGATAGAGAACAGCTAGCAGAGTTTTCTCTATAGTAAACGAGATTGAAACTATGGGCCGCCTGGCTGCACACTGTAAATTATATTTCCTTTTAAAGGGGACGTGTCGCCTTTCTCCCGCCGGCGCACCTCCCGCATCCTGAACTTCACTGAAACCCGCCCGGCTCCTTCGCGGCGCCCAAGGGCGAACCACCCTGCCTCCCTCGCCCCTCGCCACGCGGGTTTTTACTGTAATTCCCCCTCTCGCGGAGGCAGCGGGTGGGAGACGGCGCCGTGCTCGGCGCTGTGATGCCTGCAGCATCCCTCGCCGTGACTCCGGCTGGGGCGGAAAAGCCCCTGACTATCGTGCAGTGCGTCTCGCTTGTCTTTACGTCTCCACCGATTGCGCTTGTTTGGGATTGAGCTGCTGGAGGACCGGGACGTGCGTCTTCAGGCTCGCGGCCGTAGGGTTTTTCCTCCCTCCAGCAACCATCCGCCCCCTAAAAACAAGATTTTGGACCTCTGGCTATTTAAAACCACCCTGCAAGACGGGGCCGGCGCACTTGCCCAAACAGCATTGGAAACCCAGTCTGCTCTGGCTTCTGCCTCTGAACCCCACGGCAGCGCCGATGGCCGCCCCATTAATGGTTTACGGCTGCCGACAAACGGCGCCGGGTCTGGCAGAGATACATAAAAGCGGGGAAGATGGGCGAAGGTGGCTGCCGAACGCGGTGTAACGGTCTGCGCTTAAACCTCCACGGTTGCTAAGACTTTAATTCCGTGAGCTTGACCTACGCCGCCCCCTCCCTCGGTATCTATCTTTGTGCCCGGGGGCTTTTTTTATTTTAATTTGCTTTTGAACGTCCTGCAAAATTAATGGCGCGCTCGGGGCCATTGTGCGGCGTACAGTAGAGGGAAGGGCCAGCGGCGCCCGCCGAGAGCCGCTGCGTTTCCCGGGGAATGAATTGCTCGCCCGCCTTCGCCCCTTTTAATTGTTGACAGTAAAAAGCGTTTAAATGCCGCTTAATTTGTAATCATCTTCCCGCAAAAAGGGGAGAAACCATTAAAACGTCAGGGAAATGAATAAATCCGTCTCTCACCGGTTTGGGGCGGCGGCGTTTCTTTATCGGGGGTGATTTTTCTTCTGATGGCTTGAGGGCTGGCTCGGGGCTGCTCCGGCTGGGAGCCCAGGGCCGAGTCCCTGCGTCGCCCGGTGCGGCTCTCCTTGCGGCAAGACCGGTGCTGCCAAAGCCCGGCTGCGGCAGGGACGGCAGCGACCCCAGGCACCCTCTCGTGAGCTTTCCCATTTTTTCACACCTCCCATCCTCTCTGCAAAGGTGGGACATGGCTGCACATACAGCTTTAAAAAAAAATCCAAAAACATAAGCTTAATTGCACACCCACAGCGGGATGGAGCCCGGCAGAGCCCCTGCTTGATGCCACCGTCCTCGGCTGCTGGAGAGCCATGTCGGCGGAGCCTCGGGGCTGCAAACAAGCGGTGCCTGACCTCGGTCCTCCGTGTCCTGCTGCTGGGCACTGGCCTCGATGTGGGGATGCAGGGCCATCGCCTGCATCCTCCGCCTCCGCGCCAGGCTGGCATCAGCCTTCAGACCCCGCAGATGCTCTGCTCTTGGAGGGCAGCTAGCAGCAGGTGCCTCCGCAAGCTGGGCCAGTGCACATCAACCTCCCCGTTTGGGGTGTTGATTTATTTCCTAATGCATTACCTAAAAAAAAAAAAAAGTAAAAAACACCCTTTGGGGGTCCTGGCCAGCAGCACCCCCAGGGGGATGCCCAGCTCCGGGGGGACCAGCACTGTCCCCATGGACTGGCCAGTGTATCCCCCTGTGCGTGCACGAGGCGGCTCATCCCCATCGCCACGGCTGCCAGAGTCGGCCCTTTTTTTTTTTTCAAGCGGGGGCCAATTAGTTTCACAAATGAGGGCCCTACGGTGCCAGGGAGGATTTGTTACGGCCCCGCGCGCCGGCCCGGCGGCATTGTCCTGCCCTCCGCCCCCACGGGAGCCCATTGTCCCCGGCCCCAGCGGGGGCTGCTGGCGGCAGATTTATCGGGGCCGGCGTCCCGCCGGTCGGGGCCTCCGCTCCGCAGCTGGCCACGGCGCTGGGGGCTCAGCCCCGGGGACCTTTGACCCGTCCTGCTGTCACCGCCGGGGCCGCCGAGGGCCGTGGGGCCGCATACCTCTTGGGATTTGCTTCGCACGGCCCGTTTGGGGCTGGCTGCCTCTTTTTTTTTTTTTTTTAATTTTTTTTTTTTTTTTTTTTTTTTGTCTCGGGAGCGTTTTGTCCGCAGCTGCGTGGGGGGTGCGTGATAAATCCCTGCGAAGGGAGAAAGGCAGCTCCCATGCGGAGCCGCTTCTTTTGCTGCTTTTATTCCCATTTCACTAGGGGTGTTTTGCAGATTTCGGAGTGTTTCTGGGCAGCCTCGCCAAGGCTGGGACTGAGCATCCCTCCTGGTGGCTCCTGCATCCCTGGAGCCGCAGGGCAGAGCTGGCCGCGGTGTGCCACCACGCGATGCCAGGGCAGGCAACAGCACACACTGAGATGCTCTCTGGGATGCCCATCACCTGGCTGCTCCCTGGGCTGGAGGAGTGGGGCTGGCCAGGAGGATGCTGCCAGCATCCTGCACTGGGAGGATCCTTAGCTGGCACCTGCCTGCACACCAAGGAGGACCATGATGCCACCATCGCCGCGGGTGCCTGCCACCCGCTGTTTCCCTGCCCCGTGGCACGGTGGTCCTGGTGGGCTCCCCTCCAGCAACTCTGCCTCACCGCTGGGTTGCCCTCGGCTGGTTTTGGCAGCATGTCGCACAGCCCCCCCACCCCTGCACTTCCTAAAGGCAGCCCAGATCCGTTGGTTACCTTGAACATCTTGCCGCTCCTAATGAATTGCTAATACAATTTCCTAGATAATTTTATTTCCATAGTCCCCACATTTTAATGTCTCCAAAAAGCTAGCATTTATTTGCTTAATTTCCCCGCATAATACAATTTGCACTGACTCATAGGTTCTGAACAATGAGCTATGCATAAACGAAAACAAATTGTTTAATAACACAAAGGTCTGATATTTTTATTGATGCTGTATAAGCATCTGGGGTTAGGGTTTTTTTCCTGCTTTTGCTGTTGTGTTGATGCAGCTGGTTTTATACCCATGGTCGGTAGGATGGAGCTGGCAGTTGTATTAGGGCTGTGGATCGCAGGGGTGGGCATGTTACCCTCTTGCATTCAACCCCCTGCTCCCCGGGGCGGCTTTCTGGGGTGTTTCTTGGGGTTCCCTTCTCCCTGGGCCTTACGAGAGCTCGACAGCTCTCGCAGGTACATGGGGAGGTGGTGATGGCCCAACAGCTGTCTTGCATTTGGGCGGCCCTAGGCCTTGCAGGGTTGGGGCTTCCAGTGCAATAAAAAATGCAATAAAAACCCCCGTGTCCTCCGGTTCAGCCAGCAGCAGGGTCAGGGTGGCACCGCTGGGACCCCAACAACACCCAGAGCCTCGCAGCTCTTGGGGTCCCTCCTGCTGCAGGAGCATCCCTGTTGCTGGCTGGGAGTGAGGGGACCCCGAACCCCCGGTGGGGTGGTGGTCCAGGGGGATGGGGGTGCTGGGCAGCGCCTGAGTCGGCTCTCTCCCTCTCCCGCAGGTACGGACATGGCCGTTTTCTGCCTGCTGTGCGGCAAGCGGTTCCAGACGCAGAGCGCCTTGCAGCAGCACATGGAGGTGCACGCCGGGGTGCGCAGCTACATCTGCAGTGAGTGCAACCGCACCTTCCCCAGCCACACCGCACTCAAGAGGCACCTCCGCTCCCACACAGGTACGACGGCACCGCCGACGGGTGCTCGCCACTCGGGGTGAGGACAGGCTTCTTCCCCATTCGTAACAAAAAAAAAAAAAAAAAAAAGGGAAAAGAAAGGTGACATTGTCATAAAAGTGTCGAGGCAACTGCAGTTGAGGTTGTTGGGATTTAAAAAATGAAACAGAAAAAAAAAAGCTGCGTGTAATAAGTTGATCCGGTATAAGGTGACATGTGACCTTCTTAGGGGATGTGCGATCATACCCGCTTCATCAGCTTACGGGCGGTAGATGCACATAATCAGCCGGTGCTCGGCCCTAATGGGATTAGGGCGACCTGCGCGACGTGTAGCTGGTGCTTCAGCGGCGCAGCCCACTGGGGCAGGGCTTGGCTCCGGGAGAGCCGGCTGGGAGAGCGGGGCTTTGACCGCCTTACGCCGTGTCCTCAAAGAGCCCGCGCCGTGTCCTCGGCTCCTCTACCCGCATCCCCAAGCAGGACCAGGGGATGGCAGGGGGAGAGGTCCCAGCCACGCGGCGAGCATCGTCACGGCTCTCTGCAGCTGTGTGGGTGAAGCGCTCCTCGGCCTTTGCCCACACGAGTTAGAGGCTCGTGCGCCCTCCTCGTCTGTGCTTTTATGGCTGGCAGGGAGGAAAACATCTGCCAAGCTGGGATAGCCCTTCTCCTTTCTCCTGTAAAGCACCGTGCGTGCATACAGCCTCAGAAGGAGATGTCAAAGCGGCTGCTGGGGGGACGCGCAGGGAGGGTCGCTCCGTCTGCGCTGTGGCTGGCAGCTGCCAGACCCACACGTGTGCTTGGGCTTGGGGTCCCGACGTGGGAAATGGGAGTCGCGCGCTGATGATAAGCGCGTTAATGCCGAGCACTGGAGCTATTTATAGCCGGTAATCCGGTGACCTGGGCTGCGGGTCGGGCTGCGCGTGTCCCACCCCAACCTCTGCTGCTTTAGCAGCTCCTGGCTGTGAAAAAACGCTGGGATCACGGGTGTCTAATCATGCAGCATGGTTTCATCCTGCATGGGTGCAGGATGCGAGTGTTCCTCCCGGGGCCGGAGTGCTCTGGGAGCCCTGGCTCCCATTTACACAGCTTCTCCTCGCAATCAAGGACCTGGAAAGGCCATCTGCCTCTGGCTGCACAGTCGCTATCTCTGCCCAGAGGATGGAAAACCAAGGTGATAATTGGGAATCAGGCCTGGGGAGGGGAAAGGCAGCTGCCAACACACACCGCCTGCCTTGCCTTTGGAGGGGGTATCCGGAACGCATCCCGAGCATCCTCCTCCTCCAGTGCCCAGCCAGCAGCTGCGGGAGGGGGCGAGGGGCCACGGGTCTCGGCTGCGGCACACGGGGAGAGAGTAAAATATCATTTTAAAGGGGAAGCGAAAGCACAGGCATGTGAGTATATAACGAGAAGGACAATTTATGCCCAGGCACGAGTGCAGTTTGACACGGGGATAATGAAAAAACGTAGGTCATTGTGGATGACTTAAGCCTTCACAGCTGAAGAAAATGTATGAAATGCGGGGAACATTACACGCTTGGCAGCTCCGCACATCTGCAGCAGGACAAGTGAAATACAGTTCGCCATTCTTTACCATAAACTGTGCTTGTAGGATATGCGGCACAGAGAAATTGTAATTACAGTGACAAGACAAATCAGTAATATTTAAATATTCATGAACAAAGTCTCGGACGATCAATCTATCTTTATTGTCCTTGCCTTCGCGGCTGTAATAAATAAGTAGCTGGAGCCCTCACCTTTCCTTCAAATCATTCTGCCTTTGGTGCCGAACCAGAGTTCATTTATCAGCTGCCTGGTCTGGAGCGCGGGAGACGCCCGGGGCCAGGTCTGTGCTGGCGATGCAGGGTGAAAAGCCTGGGAATCGGTGGTGGGAGGGTCACGGCGCCCTCCGGTCTCGTTAGCCTGCTGCAGATCTGAGCATCCCCAACATATGGGGTTGCAGGGACCGGTGTGCCGTGCTGGGGTGGCTGGGATGCTCCATCCCCCCGGCATGGCGGCGGCAGGTGCCAGGGCTAAATCCAAGCCATGGGACTAGTTTTGGCATGGCACGGTGGCCGCGGCGGTGTCTCTGATGCACACGCGTGCTTGCAGGTGACCACCCCTACGAGTGTGAGTTCTGCGGCAGCTGCTTCCGGGACGAGAGCACGCTGAAGGGCCACAAGCGCATCCACACCGGCGAGAAGCCCTACGAGTGCAACGGCTGCGGCAAGAAGTTCAGCCTCAAGCACCAGCTGGAGACCCACTACCGGGTCCACACGGGTACGTGCTGCGGGGGTGGGGGGTGTCTCCGGTGAGGCCGGCGGTGCCGGACCAGTCCCCCGGCAGAGACACCGGCAGCATGGACCAGGGCGGCGGCCGGGGATAACGAATCATCAGATGTGCCGGCGTGTAACTATTGTAAATAGGGGATCAATAGTCAGATCGGTTTTGCTGTTCATTACTCGGTTATCGGCTGTGCCCGCCACGGCAGCGTCGATGCTGGGCAGTTAATTACCGCCTGGAGGCCCTGAGCCCCTGCTGACGCCCCCGTCTCCCCGTCTCCCGCAGGCGAGAAGCCCTTCGAGTGCAAGCTGTGCCACCAGCGCTCCCGGGACTACTCGGCCATGATCAAACACCTTCGGACCCACAACGGCGCTTCCCCCTACCAGTGCACCATTTGCCTGGAGTACTGCCCCAGCCTCTCCGCCATGCAGAAGCACATGAAGGGCCACAAGCCGGAGGAGATCCCCACCGACTGGCGGATAGAGAAGACCTATCTTTACCTCTGCTACGTCTGAGGGAGGAGGCGCAGGGGCGGCGGGGCCGAGTGGCGGAGGACTGGGCAAAAAAAAAACCACCGAACCCGCAGCGTCCACGGCCTTGTTTGTTTTCGGTTCTCGTTTGTTGCTTCTCGCCGGAAGGATCCTGCGGCTTGCGCCGGGGCGGGGGGATGCGCCGGCCCCTTCCCCAGCCCCATCCGCGCCCCCCTCCCCGGCTGCTCATGCGCCCGCTGCCCTTGCACCCTCACTGTGGGGCAGCTTTCGCCCCTCACGGCCCCCAGGGAATTCGCTACCCGACCGGCCCCTCTGTCACCACTGGTGCCGGCCACCGGCGCTGCCGGGAAGACCATGTAGGGACGACGCGCTGCCCCGAAAGCGTGCATACGGCCAGTGCTTTGGGAAGGCTTTAATTTCTGGTGTCCTCTATCACCACGTAGGCCCCGCCGCGGATGCCCTGCTGAGAGCCCGAGCTCACGCGTGGGGCACGGCTCTGCGTGGGGCTCAGCCCCCATTTCGGGAGGGTTCCCGCCCTCCCAGGCTGCGGCGTCCCGGGTGGGAGAGTGCCGGCGTCCGGCGAGCTGTAAGCGCTTTGGCGAGGGCATCCCTGGGGGGGGATCCCAGCCGGAGGAGGGTGTTTGGGGTAGGGAACCGGCTGTGAGCCGGGCTGCCTTGCCGGGCTGCCTGGGATCCGGGTGGGCACGAGGGGCGCCTGGCGGCTGCCGCCCTCCCCCTGACCAAAGACCTCTCTATGCATTTCCCCTTCCTTCCCCGCCTTCCCGGGAGGCGAGGGTGAAGCCCCCCGCAGTGAGACGCAGCCGGTTCGGTGATGCACGGTCGACGCCAGTGCCGGCGTGGGTGCCGCCGGTGCGCGGCATTGCTCCAAATGGGGGGGGATCCTCTTTTTCCTGCTAATTTGGGGCGCCTGGAAGGTGCCGAATGTGGTTTTTTTGCCCAGCCTCAGCTGCAGGAGCCCGCAAGCAAGGGGTGCCCGGTGGCAGGCGGCCTCGCTCGCCGCTTTTTTTGCTTTTCGTTCGGTTTCTCTGAACTTTCTTTTGGAATATTTCCGCATTTAGCACATTTTACTTGAAATTACCTCGTTTTTTTGTGACCTCATGAGCTTTTATTGATTTGGGGGGGACGGGGGGTGGCGTGGCTGGGAAGGCGTGAGTCGCATGCCCTGCGCTGGCGGTGGAGGGGCGGCGCAGCGGCGTCATCCCTGCCGGCCTCCCGTTGTGCATTATCCTTACCAAAACTGGTATTTTTTGCCCGGCCCTGCGGGGCTGGGGGTGTCGGTTCTGAAGCTACCTCTTGTGTTCGTTTTTGTTGTGTTTCTCCTTTGCAGTTGCAGAAGTGGGCTCTGCGGTTTCCATCCCACGTGGCGCTCGCAGCCGCGGCTTTTTTTTGTCATTTTGCTGCGTTTGGGGGAAAAGGGAGGGAAAAAGAGTCGGGAGGAGTGGGACGGCCTCTGGATGCGGTTTGGAGGGATGCTGATGGCCTCTCTTGGTTTGGGGTGCCCGTCCCACCTCTCCTGGTGCCGAGCAGGGATGCTGCTGCGGGAGCAGCACCCTCCCTTGCAGCCTGGTCCGGCTTTGCGTGCACGTGCAACCTTTGCTGCTCCGCGCAGGGTGGACGCCGCTGTTGTACCATCCGGGATGTGACTGCGGAGAATGGCTCGTTTAATTGTTGTGCCTAA